TTCTCCATATAAGGGGAGATATTACTTCTCCTTGGTCAATTCCATCTTCTGCTTCAAAGCTATCTGTTAGTTTAAATTTGGTAATTACTTGAATCTTTCTTTTACTGTATATTTCTAGTATGAACTTTAAGACTTCTTTTGGGATCTTTATTCTTCTAAGTACTCTTTCGATGCTTTTCATTGCAACTGAGTCAAAGGCTTTTTTGATGTCTTGCAACAATAACCAGCACTTTTTACCTTCTTCTTTGGCTTCTTCTAATATATTACTTAGCACATGTATTGGGGCTCCTGTGCTTTCACCTGGCAGTCCTGCGAAGTTGTATCCCTTCAGGATTTAATAGTCTATAAGCACTTGACTTAGACTTTTTTGTACTATGTGTACTAGACTTTTTCAAAATATTTCTAGAAGTATTATAGGTCTTGTGTTTGCCAAAGAAAGCTCCCATTCTTCCATTTTCAGTATTGAGAAGATTTGGCCTATTTTTCACCTTTTTGAAAAGACACCACTTTTTAGAATCTTATTTAACAGATTTATAAATTTGCTTGATGCTTTTGGCCCTGCCTTTTGTATTATTGTGTAGCTAATGCCTGATACCCCTGGAGCAGTGTCTTTTTTTGCTGTTTTTAGACATTCTTTCCATTCTTCTTCCTGAATTAGTTCTAGTATTTTGCTAAACTATTCTTCTTTGATCCATGCTTTGGCTTCATATTCTTTTTTCCAGTCTTCAGGAAGCTTATCAAAAAGATGTCTTCTCTTCCTGAACTGATTTTTAAAATGACTATCTGCCTCTTTTTTAATTTGGATTGGTTCTGTTATTAATATTCCATGCATGTATATACTGGCTTCTTTCATAACTTTGTCAATGACTATCTTTCTCCAAGGTCTTTCCAGAATGCTATTCAGCATGAGCTTATCTTTTTTGCCAATTAGACTATATCTCTTTTCTATATTGTTAATAATATTTTGTTCGATTCTTATTCTCTCTTCTTCTTTAAGTTTTCACTCCAGTGTCTTTATCCAACCTTTTGTCTCTTTAATCTATTCTGTTGTCCAAATTTCCTCTATTAGTGGTATCATTTTTTCATTTCTCTCATTGATCAGGTTAATTTGAGTATTCATTAGCAGCTTATTGATTTCCTCTACTTTTTGGTCTACTTCTTTTACTGCTTGTCGAGTTATTCTTTTTAGATTCTTAGTGTCTTTAAAGAGGTGAGACCTATCTATATGTTTCTTCATTTCCTCTGGTCTGTATTTTATCATCTTAGAAGGTATGTGTTTGGAAGCAGCTTTTAAAATTGACTTTTCTATTACTTCTCATTTTTCATTTATTTCTTCTTCTATTTTTAGGTCTTCTTCTAAGGTATTCTTCTTATATTTCTGTTTTCATGTATTCAGTTCAGGTCTTACTTGTAAGATTTTTTCTAATGTTGTATTATAGTCTTCCTATATCTTCTCTGTTGCCTCTTTGTATATAAAAATTCTTCACCTAGGCACATCTTCTGTTCTTCTTATTTTTTGTACAAATTTTAGTACTATGCATAGGCCTATTTCTGACCATACTAAGTTATGATCACTATTTATTATAATCTCTATCTCCTCAATGTTACTGTTTTCTATTCCTAATTTAGAGAGCTTGCTGCCCATATTTGATCAATTCTTGTCTTAGTTACACTATTGGACCATGTGAACTTTCATTGTGTTGAATTGCAATGCTGAAATGTTTCTGTAAATCTAATACTTTTTAACCATTCTATTAGTGAAAGCTTCTTACGTTTTTCTTTTGAGCTGCTTGTTGTGTCTAGCTCTAAGTCTAGTATTCTGTTAAAATCCCCTATTATGATATAATGAGAGTTCCTTTTAGCTATGCATACATTTTGTGTTATGACTCTTTGAATGTCCTTTTGTAAGTTTCTATCGTTTGGTGGCAGATACATTATCCAGCATATGATTGCTACTTTTTTGAATATGAATACTGTTTTGATCAGGTATACGTTTGATCTTTCTATCTTTGTAATATGTTTGCTCCACTCATTGTCTACTAATACGCATACTCCTGAGCCTTTATATTTGTTTGGATCTGCACTTGACCAATAATCTTTATAACCCTCTTTTTGTATTTCTATAAATTTTGTTTCTTTCTTCTTTACATTGGTTTTTGCTATTCCTATTACATTAAGTTTTTGAGCTTTACGATAGTCTAGTAGCTCTTGAAGCTTATAACTATTTCCTTTAATGCCATTTATATTATATACTCCCAATCTTATTGTTTTATATTGATCTTTTTCTTCAACAATCATTCCTATTCTCACTGACTCTTTCTTGTTTGACTTCATTCCTACTAAGCTGAGCCCTTTCTCTGTAGGTACATTCTTATAAACAACTGTGATGACTATCTTAAGAGCAATTGGGTGCATCTGCTTTACTCCTCATATTTTCTAACACCTCCTTATATAGCTTTTCTCTAACTTCTTTTACTAATCTCTGAAGGATTTCTTTGATTGCTTTTTCTTTTTCTCTATTTTTTTTATCTTGTTTCTTCTTTTTTCTAGTTTCTATATCTTTCTTCTTCTCTTTCTCTCTCAAACTCGTAATACTCCAATTTTCTTTACTATTTTTTTTTCTTGATGTATGCTGAGTTTGTTCTTGAGTTCTTCTTTTAGAAATTCTGTTAGACATTTCGTTTCCAGTACCTAACCTTTCTCTATTTTCATAACTCCTTTCAGTCTCCCATTCCAGACTATGGTTAAAGTACTTTATTCTTCTACCTATCGTTCTTTTTTTGTCTTCTTCATTTTCAAATTCAACTATGGCCTGGCTTCTTTGGTTACCGTTTTTGTTCAAAAAGATATGTACTGCTTTTACATTGATGTTTCTCAACTGTCTTAGCAAAAGAGCTTCTTTTATATAACTAGGCAGCTTCTTAATTCTAGCATGAATTCTTCTTCTTTCTTTGAGTTCTGAACTATTACTTCTTCTTACTGTTATTCTTGCTAAGTGGCTGCTTCTTAGTGGTAATACCCAGATTCTTTTTAGCCTATCTTCAAGGTCTTGGTCTGCTGTACTCCATTCTATTTCTGCTCGGGTTTTTTTGTTCATACTGCATCGTATACGTATTTCATCAGGTTTTCCTATTCTTTTAACCAGTTTTGCTACTTGCTTTGCATTAGTATTATATAGAAGATCCCATATTGTACTCTGCATTTTTTCCTTTGCAGGTTTTTGTAGCTTTCTTTCTTCTATACTCCTATTCTTTAAGGCTTTCTTCTCTTCTATCTTCTCTATCTCTATAATTTCTATTTCTTTATTTATATCTTCTTGATTACCCTCTTTGTCATTAATCTCTCTTTCTTTTTCTCTCTTATTTTCATTCTTATCTATATACTCCTCTTTTTCTTCTAAGCTACTAAGATTTCCTTTCTCTAGGTTGTTGATAAAACTTAGAATTTGTTGTAGTTCCTCATTTTCATAATCTGTTGTTCCTGTTTCTGATAGCATTAATGTAAGCTTTTTGCTAAATACCTCTTTAGCTGTTCTTTTTAGCATACTTGGGATGCTGATTTTACTTGCTTTATCTTTCTTGCTGATTGCTTCTTGATACTCTTTCCAGTTGTATACTTCTATTGCCTGTCTGACAATATATACTGTTTCTGGTTTTGTGATACCTAAGTGCTTTGCTATTTCTATATCTTGCTTTAGCATAAAGATATTTAATTCACTTAGGCTTTCTATAATTTCTTTCTCCTGTCACTCAAATAGACCTCTGTACTTTTCTAGATATTCTATGATAATCTGATTATCTAATACTACTTCTGTAACTCATATGAAATTTGTATCTATTTGTTTATATTGCTATACTGCTATTATAGACTACTACTTATTGCCTTTTTAGTGCTTTATTTATTTTGTTGATATTTTCATGTGCATGTGTTGTTGTTGTTTTGTTTTGGTGATCTGCAATACTAGGTCTCTGTAGAATACCTACTTTTTGTTTTTTGTTTTTGTTAATGCAGAAATTAGTTGCTTCCTTTCTGTATTATATGCCTCTGCTTGTTTTCTTTAGCTTAAACTTGTTTAAAGTGTTGCTAGTTGTGGAGCTCCTGTCTTTTCTCTCTTTCTTGTATTTGATGTTGACTTCTGTGACTTAGTTTTGCTGTAAAAATTTTCTATTTTTTGTTTGTTTATAGAAAATGAGGATCAGTGGAAAGAGTTCTCGTTTGAGTTTTTTAAAATTTAAAAATTGGATTTTTTTAATTATGATAGTATTAATATATATAAATAAGCTAAATATAAGAAATTTTGTTATGTAAAACTTAACTGCCTATAACTCTTAATAATATATACTAACTCTTTTAATTGTACAAAATTTTACCTTTAAATATGTCTACTGACTCAACTTGCTTAAATATTTAATGTCTTAAAATTCATATTGAATATTCTTAAAAATAACTCATCAGATACTATTGCAAAAGATATATCAATGTTTCAGAACTAGACCCATACTCAAAGTATAAAAAGGAATTTTTTTGTATAAAATTAAAAAGCCATTCACAATTCTCATCATATATTTCATTGCAGTTGCCTTAAGGAATATATAAAAGATTTTTCACAATGCTTAAAATGTGTAATAGAAATTGAACCTATTGGTAACACACCAGGTACCACTGTTCTAATGCAAATTTTACCACAAAAAGAATCTAGTTAGAGCTAGGATACAATAATCTCAGAAGCAATGCACTTCATGTCTCAAACCCTATCATATCACACTTCCAGTATATCCAACCTATACGAAGCAGAACCAAAGTGGTAAGCCCAAACCTAAAAAAAGATTACATGAAAGAAGATAAAAAAAAAGGACCCCAAGTTTAAAAAAATTAATCGATAAGTTGTCTACTAATAATCCCCAGCAAGATTCTGCAGAAAATGTCATTGCAACACAATCAGTGATGCTATAAACTACTGAAATTGACTCTGATCCAGTTAATTTTCTTGACTTGTATAGTGAGCTTATTAGCGTTAAAGATGATAATAGAAGATCAAACCAAGAAGTTATTAAAAGATATTATAATTTCGGACAAAATCATATGAAATGCCTAGAATACCATAAGAAATTTCACAAAAAGCAAGTTGCTAAGATCCTAGCAAATAATGAGATTAGAAGTCAACTTCCCAAAGAGATAAGTAATAATGCATTGCACAAAAAAAACAAAGTGAGCCTGGAAAATCTATTGTTTTTTTTATGCTATCAGTGAGGATAAAATAGTATGAATTGGATCTTTTACTGCATCGAGCATTTCTAAATTAAGAGAACATCGATTATGTAATACTTAGCATTACATTTTATCAGTTTACTGCGCCACATTACAACGCCTCATGTAACCATGTTCGCGATGTCACGGTCGTAATAAAAATAAAAAATAAATATAAAGATATAATTGTCTTTTGTATTGATCTCTTGCAATGGATACGATCGAAAAATGAAAATATCTTTATCGAAACACTTTTGGGCAACGACCCTCTCTGAAATTTTGGTTGATAATAATAAAATTCTCTTACATAATGAGTCGAAGGTCATAAATTCTGCATGCAGGGTCATGACACCATATGATTGAGAATTTTTATTACGTTATCATTTAACCCTGATCTACGTTATCATTTGACCCTGATCTACATAATCATGATTTTGATTTTCGGCATCAAAAAACCTTCTTATATTCTCTAATTGCTTCAACACTAACTACATACACAGACCTCTTAGAATTTTTCACTCAAGAAGAACTATGTCGTGTATTCTCAAACCCTTTCGTAAAGGTATTCTTTTCTCGATATATTCTTTTTGTAAAATAGTATGCTTTAGTGACCACCTTCACGAACTACAGTATTTGAAACCAAAATTGAAAAACTTGCCCGAAAATGCGGAACAGGTATCCAATGATATTGCTATATGTGCAAATGTTGGTAAGAATTATTGTCTGATCCATGTGTCAGCACCTTTATCCCTCCCGGAGATTCTTCAAGATGAATATACTGCCAGCATCGTTCTTCGCGCCATGAAAGAGAGTCCATTTCCCGATGACCCAGCGTTGATAATTCAATGGGATGATAGAGGATTTAACGACGTACCAACCGTTCCTGGTTGCCGTAATGGTGTGCCCGGTCAGACGAAGGCCGCCATCATTGCCCACCTCGTGGCGAATTGTGCAGTCGACGCTTATGGATTAAATTTAGTTTTCATGTTTAGAAATTCGGACGCACTTAGCCAGTGTGAACATACAATTCCCGCATGGTATAAGAAGTTTTATTTTCCTTTAATATCACTTTACCTGTCTACTCATGCTTTTTACTGCTAAAGGGTCAGGCATCAACCAGGCGTTCCGGACGCCTGCAGTGCCATATGTAGAATCAATAGGATAACGAACACCACATACGAGACTGAGCTATTTCTTCATGCCTTTGACAGATAACATAATATAGTAATGTATTTTTATTGCTTTCGCATTGCGATTATAAAAAAAAAATAATAATAATGCCTAGGAAAAACCGGATATAACATATATTTTTAGTGCTAGATTCTTACACTTCTGTCAAAAAGAACGCGCTTGCAATTGCATTAAGCAGTTAATAAAGCAGGCCTTAGTGATCATAAATCCCTTACTTCGCACGTCTTTCTTCGAAAGTGTATTTCATGCATTACATTGTACAGGTTCCAGTTCGATGTGTACTACATATGATGAAGAAATTTTTTTTCTTTTCATTTTTCTGAGATGGCCCGTCCCACGAATTTTAATAACATGAATTTAACTTCGATGTCTTCATGATTAAAAAGTTTTGAATAAATATGCTTTCTATATAAAACAATGGTAAACCCTCAATCAAAAATCGATTTTTAAAAGAATTAAATTTGAAGCTCTTGACTGAAATAGAATGCTGAAATTCTTGAACTTAAAAAGTAGAATGCCAAGTTAAACTGATGATAGAAGAGAATGCCAGACGCGAGGCTGAGAACATGAAGCTCAAAGCCAAAGTAGCTAAATTGGAATGTGATGTATAAGAAATAAAAAAGCGATCCCAATCTATTACTAATAGTTGTCAAATACTCAATTCATCCTTAGAATGTTCAGAATCACAAGTAACTTCTTTATCTATTTGAGGCACACTGATAAAGAGGCTATGACTCACTGCAAAACAAATGACTCTGTAACAACTAACATTACATCTGTAACTTCCGAGCAGATGCCTCAAAGCGGCGCCCCTAAAGAGCTAGAAAATACACCTAATTCTGACATATATCAACCTACCAGCATGAAGCCTAAATAAAGAAATTGACGATTCCTGGATTCAAAGCATAAAGAAAAGGTAAGTAATGAAATAAGAGAAAGAATCAGGAAAATAGCTTCGAACTCAAGACTTATCTTTGGTTAGTCATAATAAAAAGGGAACGGATTAACTTTAGCAAGAATTGTTCAAAGTTCACAAGAGCATCCTATATCAAAAAATATTAAGCCAGAACATATCAAAATTTCTGAGATGATCTGTTCTGAAAAATTTGAGGACATAAATGAAAGATAAGATTAATAGGTATGTCAAGAATAGTTGTATTTAAGATACAATTAAGAGAATTAAAGACTAAATAATGAATAGTTTAAGTAGAAGGGCAGATGGTCCAGTGTAATAAAGAACTAGTTTGATTGTATTGGTGATAGGAAGAAGTGTAAGAGGGATTGTATTTAAGAAGAGTATGAGAGACAGGTAGTTCATCCAAGCAGATTTTAATATAAAAGGTTTTCAGAATAGAGGAGTGGAAGTTGTGAGTAAAATTAAAAATTTTTTGATTATTATTAATGTAGAGTTAAGAGTTTTTTAGTTGATATTAGATATAATAATAGATCATTGTTGGAAATAATTTTGAAATATTCAAAATATTATAATATATGTTTGACAGATGATAAACATAAAGCATTAAATAGAGATCTCAATAAAAATTAATCAATAAATAGAATATAAATAAGATTGTAAAGGTTATTAGTTAAGAATATTAAAAAAGATAATTTTTATGACTATGTACAAGTTAGTTAACAAGATTATTAAATAGATTATCTTAATGTTTAGTGATTTTGTAAAAAATAAGTTGAATAATGAGAATGGTAATCCTAGTATAGTGATTGGGTTGTCATCTTTCAAGCAGTAGGTCCAGAGTTCAATTTTTACTGGTGGTAGAAAATTTGCTAAATGGTCCTATTCTGGCAACTTGTATAGGGTATTTGGGGTTGTAACCTTGTAATTCTGATTGTATCAAGAATAAATTTGAAAGTGTATAATGTTATACAAATAAATCCAAAAAGTATATACTTTATAAGAAGCTTTGTTTGAAAATCCTAAGTAGAAAGATAGTATGATTTTTGATGGTATCATCTGTAAAAATCTTGATCTGAAAACAGAAACTTGGAGCAGATGATCTATATAGGCAAGAACTCTAGATAAAGAGTTTACCAACCTGGTTATCAGTTGAATTGGGTATAAAGTCACATCATACAAAGTTAACTGAATTAGTAGTATAAAAAGACTTGCAAGAGCATACAAGATATTGGTAGAGTTGTAAAGAAAGGTACTAGGATTATATGAACTTTATAACAGTATAGTGGTTTAAGGATTATCTTAACTGCAAGTGTTGGCCTCAGCTATAGCAATACTAAGTTAGCTGAAAATTGGATAACAAAAGGCTCTGGTGGATTTAGTACAAGGTTAAAGATTTCCTATATGAATGAACTACTTTAAAGACCTAGTAACCATGTTAAATTTATGCTAGTAAAAACTAAGACAGATGGTAGAGTAGATAAATGGGTAGATACAAGAACCAGAATGTTTAAATAGAGGACTCACAAGCAGGTTCTAAGTATGACAGCTAATATAGAACCTTCAGACAGACTACTTAAAATATATAATAACTAAATTTGTATAAATGACTAGTTGTATACATTTTTTATGATTTCTTTTGTAACTGTTATAATAATACAATTACAAAGCTAAACATACTATCAATAAAAACCTAGATCACAAGTACTCATCTTTAATATTGAAAAAAATATATATATAAGTTGAATATTATAGGAATTAATAAAGTTAATAAGAGTTTACCAAATAGAGAAATATAAAGTATAGATATGAGAAAGTTTAAATACTAACTAATAAATACTATAATATTTAGAAATTATTAATTATAAATTAGTAAAGATATAAACAAAATAGTTTTTAAAAACAGTAATAATTAATAAGAAAATAGTAAGAATTTTAGTTTTGAAAAAACATGATTAGAGTTTAATTTTTATTTATAATGAATGAATAGTTGTAAAGTTATTAACTTAAACTCAATCTATATCTTTTTTTTTTTTTTTTTAATATTAATGGTGAGGCCATGCCTCTATCTTTATTGAATATTTATTTGAAATTTTTACA